TACTACTCTACACCTACTACCTACTACTACGTACTACGAACGTAACAACTAACTACTACTACTACTACTCTCTCTCTCTACTACTACTACTCTCTCTCTCTCTCTCTCTCTCTCTCTCTCTCTCTCTCTCTCTCTCTCTCTCTCTCTCTCTCTCTCTCTCTCTCTCTCTCTCTCTCTCTCTCTCTCTCTTCTCTTCTCTTCTTCACTACCTACTCTGTTTTGTTAACGTACTATTCTATCTCTTCCTCTCTCTCTCTCTCTCTCTCTCTAAACTTCACAGCGTACAAAAACCCATTCAAAATCCTTATTAACTTCCATTGGACAGGAGCTTAAATTCATACACAAAAGCAACTGTGCAGTGGGGTACAGACCACATGTATTGTCGACCATTCTCTCTCATCTCATTGCCACTAACTCCTCTCACCTCATCCTCCCACTTGTGGACATCAGAGGTATTATTTACATGTTTCCATTATCCTTCATTTTCAGTTTAATAAATGTACAATTTTGGTATAAAGAAGAATTTCAAACCAGATTGTTTCCAGAAACATTTAAGTGACGTTGGGAATTCCTAGACATTATGGAAAAATGGGTTTCTTGGATTGCAGAGAAATTTATTTATTGAGAAATAGAACTGGGAAATTCTAGAGATTACTGTAAGAGTAGGTTTCTTGGATTGCAGAAAAATTGAAAGAGAGGGTTGAAGAGTTCTTTGGGTGTGAGTTTGAGCTCTTCATAGAATTCACAGGGTTAATCAGGTTGGGTATGTTCTATAACTCCATTGCTTATTTCACGGAGTTATTGTTTGAATTGTCATATATATTTTGATGATATGTCTTTAATCCCTGAATTAATTTGAATTTGAGGAAACACAGGGAGAAAGCTATTGGGATTTAAATTAATATACTCATTGGTATTTGTTGTGGTTCAGTTGGAGTTGTGGATCAAGTATTGGATGGCACAGTGATGATAACCGGCCCTATCTTAAGCAGCGGCATTTTGCAGTAAGTATATTTACTGTAAGTTTGGTGTATGGTACAAAACCAGAGCATCCAATATCTGTTCTTAATCATGGAAGATGGAGATTAACCATATTTCCTGATTCACCTGGGAGTGTTTAATCTCCACTATCTGTTCTTGGAGATGGCCATAAGATGCCCTGGTTGTATATATTATAAACAGTTCCTGTATATGGTATGCCGTCCCTTCCATATAAGATATTCGTGCCTTCTGTAGACTAACTGGACTTTGTTTTTCATGATTCGTAAAGGCAGTTTGTTATTTGAGCAATCACAGTGAAGATTTTAAAGGCGGACTTTTCCACTTCCAAGAAGGCGAGCCCGCAACAATTGTTCCAATGGCTGGTGTAAGTCATGAACTGTATAATTTTCGATGAATTAGGTCACACTTATGTGAACTGCTATTTGATAACGGTTCTTAGAAGAATTTGTTATAGCTCCTAACTTTGTAGTAATTAGTAGGTAGAGAACATATGGAGTATGCGGGTTTTTAATAGTTCTAAGATGTGGCATATTTACTCTTCATTTTTCCTAAATTACAGTTAGTGATGTCATTTCGTATCTAACAATTGTACTTCTCAATGATGTATCATCAGGATGTACTTATTTATACAGCAGATGATCGCAACATTCACTGTGTTGATGAGGTAGATCTGAAATACTTCTTCTTATTTTCAACTTGAAATTTTATCAGTGTTCACGGTTAACTTATGGATGATTATCTTCCTATAATTAGAGCCTGGTTATCAGTCAGGTCAAGGTATATGAAAGTTGTTTTAAGGATCTTCTGCTTCGCTTTGAAGTCAATTGTGTTGTCTCATCACCTTTTGATTTATGGGTGCCTAATGGCTGTTGCTTCAGACATCATCTGCTATTTTTTTCCTCTCTATGTTGCCTAGGGGTTGCTCATTATGTTTCTTTATGCTATACATTTAACTAAAACACTAGTGGTGTGTATGATGTATGGTACAGACTGGAGCATCACTGTTTCTTCCCAATGACTTTGGTGGAGATTAAGTTTACCCAGTTGAATATTTATCATTTTGAGCTGCAGATCTTCACTGTCATCAAGAGTTTCTCTGATGCCATATTGGTGTGCTATATACCATATACGACTGGTGTGTGGTGTACTTCCTCGACATATATTACCTATTAACCAGTGAAGTTTATTAATTTTTTGAAACATATGTTTTGGTATTCTTGATCATATAACAATGGGAGTCATAAAAGTTGATATTTCATTAGGTCATTCTCAATTTGGAAGGTGATAGAAATTTACTATCAATGATATTTCTAGGGGGTGAATTTCTAAATTGATATTAAGGGATGAAGAGTTGGGATGCACTATCATTGAACTCCATGGTTTGTAGTAAAGCATGTAGTTGATCAGGTTGCTTTGCAATCTTACTTTGTTATAATTGGTGGTTGAGATTTATAGCAAAGAAAAGAAAATCATTATTGTTCTACTTCAAGGTGTGTGTCGTAGAACCCTAGGACATGATGCAACGCTTAAGTATAGCACTGAGGGAATTCACTCTCTTTGATCAATCCTATTATAACAACGCCTGGTTATACCTTTTGGATTTGTTCCCCTTGTCCAGTTGGCTTTCTCACATAGGACATTGTTTTGGTGGCTATTGTGCATTTTACAGTTCGCACCATATTTAATTGTCATCATCTTAACATTGTAATAATGAACTTCCCTTCCTTAGTGGCTTCTAGGTATTGCTAGCAAATCTTTTAGGAGTACAATTTTGTAACTTCTAATTTCAGTCTAAGCTGCCACCAGTTGAAGGTGAGTTGCTCATAGATCATTTATTGCAGGGTTTTATTTGAGTAGGGGCAATGGTCAGAACCAGTGAATGCTTGCGTCTAGATATGATGTGAACTGAGATTTTCTAGTTTGTGGCTAACTCATTGTTACCGGGATCTCCTTTCTTGCTTGGTGATCGCTTGCAGAATCTCGATTCTCTCGATCCCGGAGCGGATTTTTTCTGAAACTCAATTTAGTGTTTTCGGGATCTCGCTCCATCTTATAAGGGAACGAGTTCCTTACAATTTAATTTCGCGTTCTTGAACATTATAGGATCTCGTTCCCTAGTCTTATGGTTCACACTCCAGAGTGCATTGGGATCTAGATTCTAAAATAACGGAACACAAGCATCGTCATATGTGGCATCCGGATCCCGCCAATATGGGATTGCTTTAAAGTTCCTCATTTATTTCATAGAAGGACTAAGCCTACATGTTTTTGGTTAACAACGCCGGGAGCTACATTTTAAAGCCACAGGTCCTTATTACCCACACGAGGAATTTGTGTTCTAAGAAAATGGAGCTCGCTCCTATAAAAGTTATTCCTCGCTCCATAATATTTGGATCACTTTCAGTAATACGCTTCCTGAGTTAAGAAACTAAAAAAATGTCCTCGGGAACTTCGCTTCTTATGTATAGGATCTTGCATCTTTATATAACAACTCTCGATCCTATGTAATAAAGGAGCTCGATCCCCAACGCATAAGGACCTCTATCCCGACCTTTGAGGCTGTACGGGCATTATCCCTAACACAACGATCTTTAGTATAGCTTCGATCTGCCGATCCCACTCTCGATCCCGGAACCATTCCCGTTCCCGTACCCAGCAACTATGGACTAACTCTTTGGATTAGGTGTATGAGTCTCAACAAACTTTCTGACATTTGCAATGAGTGGAATTACTATATTGGTCATTATTCTTGGGTGTTTTTGAGCTATTGAAATATGTATGTCCTTGTTTGAGTCATACTTGTATATAAATTTAATAAAACAATTTAGAAGCAGTTATTGCTTCTAAATATTTTATATTCAAATAAGATGATCATTATCCTAAGCAGATATTCTAGATTACCATTTATCAAATGATCAATTATTGACATAAATCATTGCCAATCATTGGTTTACAAATTTAAGAAGTTTGACTTGGTTTGGCACCTGCTATACCTATGTGCGTCAGCAACATACAAGCTGCATTTTCATCATTAGAATGACATACTGAAGATGTTTATCTCCATAAATTCAAATCTTTGTAATCAATTAGATCGCATGTGGATTGTTCCCTTATGTCCATCAAGGAATGGGGATATTAACGATTGAGTGCATTTCTATTCTTTTTGATAGTCCTGGTAGCATTTCTGTTTGTAGGAGAAGATAAAAAACAAGTAAAACTATCTTTCAATTTTTTTTTTTAAAAAAACGAACTCTCAAGAAATAAGTCTCCTAAAGCCTATCTACACAAATAACCATCACTTCTAATTCTAATTCATCCCCAAAACATCAAAAATAAGGAAAAGTACATAGAGCTATGTTTTAAAGATCTTGAGGAGACCTTAGAAATGAGTCTTGGGATGCATCAAGCGAATGTCCAGGTTATAAGTTATGCCCTCTGGAAGCAGACTGTGTCATTCTTCTCCAGTTGGAAAAGACTCGTTCTCGACTTCTAAAATAAAGTTAGATGGGTCCGAAACCGAATCCCTTGCCTTCCTCATTCTTCTTCTCTATTAATTGGTGGTATTTTCCCACCAGTTGCCTTTGATCTCTTCGAACCTACACGTTCTCCTTTTGTAGAATTGACTGCATGAATGAAAGCAAGGTCTCGTCTTTTGAATTATTTTTGTCAATACCAAATACTTCCCACCTTAATAAAAAATAAGATCATCCTAAGGTGCTTCCTCGATCATCTCATGAAATATAGATGGCTTATCCCAACTGGCAACTTTTGCATCTGTTCGAGATGAGAATGAGAATATCCATTACAATATGGGATTTAATTTGGCTTACCTAGAGTCCAAGGTGTAATATTGCAGTTCCTATTCCTAATCAAGTTCCATGGCTCAAGAAATCCAGTCCCAAGAAGAAATCCCATTGGAAATAGGTTTTATTGTACCTTAAGAGACTGAATTCTGTCGAAGACCATAACTTTGATCCATGCATCAAAATCTCCATTATAATTTATCATTTTGTGATATCTTGATGAGACAAAGGCAACAACTGTAGCATCTGTTTTGCAGAATTATTGAAGGAAAACCTTGTTCAGCAAGAGTTCACTGTTTTTCTATTTTAGGATGTATTTGGTATTTCTCGAGTTGTTAGGATGTTTTGGAATTTTTAGATAGATGTTAGGAAATCTATTCCCAAATAGTTGGGAAAAGGCTGTGATGATGATGATGATGATGATGATGTTAGGAGATCTATTAGGGTTGGGGCAACATAGTTATATATGGGTAATAAGAGAGATCTAATTGTTAGCGGGTTTTGAGATATTGAGAAAGGCATTTTCTGTTGCAGCTGATTGAGAGGCTATTAAGCTCTGGCGAGTAGGAATTGCAACTTTTGTTTGTTTCTCGTATGGTTCTTTTACGACTTTTTTCCCTTTGTGTATTTTCTTACTTTCTCCTACATCAGTTTTGCGTCATTTTCCAAATCAGCCTTTGAGAGAATGCGCACGAATTTGGGAAGAAGCTATCTTCGTATCAAGGTTAGGGGGTCAACTGAGCATCTCAGCGGCGGGATTGAATACCCGGATCGAATCGAAGTTTAGGCTGCTCGCCCTGAACAAATCGGAGGTGTGGGCCACAGGTCGCACATGAGCCGTCGGGTCGCATGATAGAAGAACACCCATAATAAAGATGCACAGTCCTCCATGTGAAATATTGATCTCCATTGGAGCCTTTTGGTGGTAGTTGAGACCAACAGCCATCAGCAGTCAGCTCGTTGGTAAGGCAAGAGCTTCAAGCCTGATTTCTGGTGGCACACCCCCCCCCACACAAGCACCACCCAACGAAGGGGGGGCAGCAGGTTTTGAGATATTGAGAATTGCATTTCCTGTTGAAGCTGATTGAGAGGCTATTAAGCCCTGGCGAGTAGGACTTGCAACTTTTGTTTGTTTCTCATATGGTTCTTTTACGACTTTTTCCAGTCTGTGTATTTTCTTACTTGCGCCTACATCAGTTTTGCTTCATTTTCCAAATCAGCCTCTGAGAGAATGGTCCTTACCCATGAATTGAGTGAGTGGACCAAATAATGCCGTTTTCTAACTTATTAATGTGTCGGGGAGGGAATGGGATCATTCACTAAACATGGTTTAATTAGATGCTGGAGGTTTAAGTAAACCAAGACAAATCCTAAACCATGACCAATCTTCACCCATATCTTGACAATTCATTAGTTTTTCTTAAATACTACATATATTCCAAATACAGACAAGCCATGACATATTATAATCTATTAATATAAAGATTGTTTCACAATAGAAGATTGTTGGAAAAACCTGAGAAAACTATATGGACACTCAGCTTTACATGGACTGGTTATCCAGCTGGTTAAATTCCAGCCCTCTTCAAATATTTTAACTTTACCATTGGGTGGCTTTTAACTTGTAAAGTTAGGTATCCAAATTGCTTTTTTGGGTTTCCCCTTCAATTGCCTAAAACTATTGTCACATACTTGTGATTGATAAGAACGTATTTTCCATACCTGATCTCAACATTGTTCTTTGGTCAAAGGAGATTGAAAGAGGGTAATCACATGGGCTAACGATAGAGCAGACTGCCAATGGAGATTGACATATAGTTCCAAAAGATTTTTCTGCAGTGCTTCTATATGGCTGTGACCTTCTAGCACATATGAAGAGAGTCCAATGGTCTAGGTGAGTCATCGTCCAAGGAAGGAACCTCTCGTTCACATCTTATAGTCACGTGAGTGGAACATGTGGCTATTTAGAACATAGGGATCATATCAATAACAAAAAAAAAAATGAAGGGAAAAATCTAATGATTCTCTCTTGATTCAATGGCCATTTGTTGGGTTTATTTGAAGGGGGGTGGAGAGAGATCTTGGTGGGTTTTGGGTGCTTTTTTTTTTGTGTGTGTGTGTGTGTGAGAGGGAGAGAGAGAGAGGAGGAGGAGGAGGCTTGAACGTTGATGTTGTCTTTGTCCTTCCAATCTCACTGTTCTCTTCCCTCTTCTTTTGATGGAATCACTGTTCTATATTTTCTGGTTTCTGCAGATTACAGAGGGTGAAAGGCTCACATTAACGTTGTGGTTCACACGCGATATTTCCTATGATGAGGATGCCAAGCTTCTCAACCTTTTCTCTCTAAATAGCAAAGATGAGGATACAAAATCATGGATTCCTTTATCAGCTCCGAACAACATGTACTGGTTTTCACCCTCTTCACTTACTGAACATCACTTAGGTTATGATATTCGGTGGGCAAGAGTACATGCCCTTGGGTTCGATCTTTACATTTCCAATGAGTTTGAAGACGTTGCTTGGGAACCATGTGATATGCTTGATAAGCCACTGAAACTGGGGAGAGAAGGCAAAATATTTGGGAAGGAGTTTGCAAACGCTTTACATGCTCACCAGGTAATTATTTTTCTTCTGTTTTCGACTGGTTTTTCTTGGATTTATGTTTTGGGAAGTTTGAGAGAGATTCCTATATTTTTCCATAACAAGAAGGAAGAGAGAGATGTTCATCATGTAATTTTTCATCAATTCTACGAAAATTCTTAAATAAATTTATTTGGATTAAATTCACATGGAATGTTTGCGACTATTTTGGGTTTTCATGCAATGAAGCACAGTTGTTAATGGTTCATCTTAACAGGTCTTGGAGTTCTACCGATGGAAAGGCTCAGAACTGCAAGCTTCTAAAAGCAAGATGAGCGCTACTCATGGCCTTGAAAGAACACATCTCTTATCAGATATCACCAGTTACCGGAAACTCGCTTTCCCGGCATATTTTGAACCCAAAAGTGTTTTTTCCGAAAGTTTTCCCATCAACTCTTATTGTCAAAATATGCAGCCTTTTGATTGGTCTGACTTCTCCATGGCGGTTGCCTTATGGGAGGACTATGTTCATGGGTTGCGGAGGAAACTTGTGACCAGTTTGCCTCAATGGAAATTGCATGGATCCATATTCAATGTTCCATTGCCAGAATAATGGCTGGAAATTCCTAGGAATTATTGAATTTTTGACACACATGCAATGAAATTCAGCTGGGTTCCCCAAAAATGGGGTAGGGATCTGGAGTGTTTTTCTTGTGATATGTGGATTTAAATTCTTAGATTGAGGGTTAAGTCGCTCTCTCAATATATATATATATATATATATATATATATATATATATATATATATATATATATATATATATATATAT